TAGCTTTAAGGTGTTACAAAACTCAATTTTAGCTCAAGTTATGTTTATCGGGCGTTGGTTCGAGTTTTGTGTCATTTGAAGTCAAAATGAGGATTTTAGAGTTCAGCATCGGCGCTTGAGAAGAAATTAGGATGAGTTGAGAAGCATTCGAGAGTAATTTGAGAGCTTTGGAGGTCACTGGGAGGTTCACGATGAAGATTTGAAGGAAAAAGAGCTCTACGATTGGCTACAGGATCAAAAGAAGATGAATAAAGCTTGAAATCGGCGATCATGATGACCTTCTGTTAATCGTTCAAGCATATCTCTTTGTAGAAACATTCAATGTACACGATTCAAAGTCCATATGCAATCTAACTTCAAGGGATACAAATAATACGAAGACAACTTTGCTAGAATCTGAGAGAAAGAAGGTGAAAACAGATGATGAAATCAGATGATCTCTTCTGCGATTTCAGAATGATACCTTCCACCATTTTGATCATATTTCTTGATTGGATGATTCAAATCACATTCGGGAAATTGTGATGGATACAGGACTTCATATATACAACTTTCATGAAGAAAGCATTGCCAAATTTGGAAGTTAAGTAGGCACGATCGTGCTCTCAAAGTCAGGCACGATCGTGCGTGAAGAGAAAGCATCGCGGAGCTACTGCCAGGCAGGAATGATCGTGCCTGGAGGGAGGCATGATCGTGCATGCCCAAAATGCGCGTTTTTGCTCCGGAGGCACGATCCAAGGCACGATCGTGCCTGACACCGTGCCTGCCTCCGGAAATCCCAATTCAGCTCAAATTTTACCCGATTTTTCTATTTAAACAGCCTGTTAACCCCGTTTTCAAGGCTGAGCTTAGAGAGAGTGCCTAGTACGAACTTTAGAGGGCTTTTCAGCCTTGTTCATCAATCTTTTGGGATTCTTTGTAAGTTCCACCTTTTTAATTAATGACAATTAATTCTTTCTTCCCAATTCTATTGATTCTTCAATTATGAATTGTGAGTAATTTTAATTAGGGATTTGGGATTGATGAAGGGGTTAAGCATGATGTATGGCTAGATTTTTGATGGATCAATTGCATGAATGCCGTTTAATTTGTGTTTGAATAATTTAATAGATATCTCTTGTAACCTAGAACGGCCGCTAGAATTACAATTGCTTGTAGAATAAATTAAGAGAGATCTAGTTTATTCTAGGACACATTCACACACACTTAATCGTTCGCTAGGAGATTAGTAGCGATTGAGGGGCCGTAAGATCGCTCGTTTTGGCAATAATTTAGGATCCTGTTGAATGAGAGATCAGCCTGGTCCCCTAAATTATTGTACTCTACGCCGCGAGAGCGGTAAGAACTTAGTATTGATTAGCTAGGCTCAATTAAATTAATTTCATGTAATTACGCCTGATCTGCCACAAATCTGATTACCTCGGAATCAATCCTTGTTCCCTTCGTTATTAATTATGAAGAACCCAACCTTTTATTTTAATCGCTCATTCGCTTTAGTTTAATTTCAATTCAACCAACCAATCTCCCACGACACAATTTTTTTATTTATTTTTAATCGCTGAATTTAATTAATTCTTGATTCGCTTTTGTCCGTCCCTGTGGAGACGATACTCGTACTTACACCACTATATTACGATCTATTTTAAGTGCGAGAAAACTCACATCAGTACCCTTAACCATTGGTATGGCGGTGATTTGAGCCAAAAGATGTTTTTAAGTGCCTATCCGTCAATTGACATTTGATACAAGTCTAATGACTCATTCTCATTTTCTTTCAGAAATGGAACATACCGGGAAAGTTACTCGACGGAACCCGACTGGCCAGGCACCGGGAGGATCCCAACGTGGCAGTCGAGGAGCATCGAGAGTGTCTAGGGGACAGGGCCGTGCAGGCCACTCACTGGCCGTAAGTGACGGTCATGTTGAAGCAACAGATGAGCATTATGAGTCCGAGGAGGATTCAACTTACCAACCGGGAACTGAACCGGTTGAGACCCCATATGATGGGGAATATGACGATGCTAGTAATGAGAGCGATGATAATGACGCTCTAGAGAGGATCGAGGAATTGCTCCGGCAATACCAACAAGATCACCAAAGGCGTCAGGCAAGGCGTGCTTTGGGAGGGGCTTCAAAAAGAGAAATCCATGCGAGTCCTAGGGGACATGTAGAGCCCCGAGGAAGGTAATAAGGTGTCGAGGTTCCGATAATAAGGATCTCAAAGTACCTCAAAGAGGCGAGAGATTTGGGGTGCAAACCTTCGATGGAACGGGGGACATCTCCATTGCAGCCGAATGGATCAAAAGATTCAACGAAGCGACTCTCGATATGCAGCTGCCGCCGAACATTAAATTGAGGGTAGCAACAAGGTTGCTAGAAGGAATGACATCCACATGGTGGGACGGAGTCAAGGGAAAGTACGGGGAGACCGTCATTTGGGAGAATTTCCGGCAGGAATTCTTCAACCAATACTACTCCGACTATGACGTGAACTTAAAAAGGAGGGAGTACACCAGCTTGACCCAAGGAGGCAAGTACACCGTCACGCAACTCGAACACAAATTCAGGGAGCTTGCCGAGTTCATACCGGAGTATGCTTGCGATGAGAACCGAATGGTTAACCACTTCTGGGATGCTTTAGATTTAGACGTGCGTGAGAGGGCAACACAGTTGCCTACATGACGTTTAGCCAAGTGGTGGGGCAAGGCTTGAAGGGGGAGAAGGAATGGGAAGAAAGAAAGATGAAAAACGCCGAGGAGGCGAAGAAAAGAAAATGGGAAAACAATGGCCCCCAAGATTCTAATAAAAAGGGGAACCACGGGGGAGGCAGATCTTTTAGAACCCCCGCACCACCGGCGAGGGGAAATCTAGGCCCAAGCGGGCAGAGCTCGATGTCACAAGGCTCGGGCATGAAGAGGTGCAGCAACTGCAAGAAGAACCACCTAGGCAAGTGTCGTGATCCCCCGAGATGCTATCAATGCGAGTAGGTTGGACATTTCAAGGTGAGCTGCCCACAACTCGGACGAGCCATGGGTGCCGGGCCGACTAGTGGAACAACTTTGAGCAGGAACCGGACGGGAGTGCCCAATGCAAGCATGGGGCACGGTGGAGCGAGTGCAAGCAACACGCTATCCGTAAACCAGGGGAAGACCCAGGCTAGGGTCTATGCAATGACGGAGGCGGATGCTCCTGCTAACCCGGACTCCGTTGCGGGTAGTTCCTTAAACTCATGATTTATACTCTATTCTAAGCAATAGGAATATGAGAAAATATGAGATCTTATTGTCATAGTAAACATCAATTAGTGACAAAATATGAGAATTATAGTAACAAAAAATAACATTGTCATAACAAATTGCTTTATTGTGACAAATTTGAGTTTTGTAACTATTAGATCATATAATATGACGATTTTTTGTGTGTCACACAAATTTTTGTCATAAAATGTGTGATTTCTTGTAGTGAGCCACCAGTAAGGAGCCAACTGTAGAATTTGTTCCGGTTTCACCAGCCACTGAAAAGAAAGCAACCCAAATGATCTCATCTTCCTGGAACGGTGGTGGTTCAGGAGGGGGGCGATCCGTCTCAATATCGTCGCAGAAGAAAATCATGTTTTTGATTGATGAAGAAATCAGTGCAAATCTCTTCTTAGCACACAAGAACGTCCGACCGAAAGTGACAGGGAATATGGATCTGGCAGACGATATTTCGCTACCGAAAATAATACCTCCAAACAACGTTGGGAAAGAAACGCATGAATAAAACTGAAAACACTGATTATGAAGATGTTTTTCTATTATTGAAATCAAAGAAGATTGAAAGAAGAGAAGAAAAGAAGAGAAATAGAGGAGGTGGCGGCTAGGGTTTCCCCATGCCATTTCCGCTGCTCTCTAGAAACTTTGATTTCATATAAAGTTTTGACCTGTTATCAATGGGTTTTTAATTGTCTAGGCCAATGCCTTTGTTGGCTTGTTGCCCACACTTGGAAACTGCCATGAATGTAATAAGGATCATTAGCTTATTTTATCCCAAACTATCATCAAATTCATAAATCTATCCTAGCTACATTTTCATTTTTATAAAAAAAAAGACTCAAACTTCATGTTTTTCATCAATTATGGTTTTCTTTTTTGTTTTTCCAAAATTACACATTTTTATCAATGCCAATAAGATATAAGCAATACAATTTTGTAAATTAAAACTAGAAAGAAGTGAAAAAAATATGAAATATAAATATAATTTTCTTCTTAATTTTTACTAAGTCATTCATTGAAGGTGTAATTGTGAGAAAAGTTGAAGTTCGAGTCTTTTTTAATAAAAGTGAAAGTATGCGATAGATTTGTGAATTTCATGATAGTTGAGGATATATTTAGCCAATAATCCATGTGATAATGTAGCCAGAATAATGTACAGTATTCTCTTAATTACAAAACAACTTTTGTTTAAGAAGAATTGGATTGCAATAATAAAGATTTTTATGGTAAATATATGAAATGGATATGACTTTGAATCGAAGGTAGTACAATCACATTTGACCTACAAATATGAACCAAAATCCTCCCCACTTTCTTTATCATATGGTACGTAAGGTACGTATTGTAGGATTTCTAATAAAATTAATTTGTACTTTGTATTAACATAATTAAAAATTGGAGACGAATCCATCCACATTTTTGAAAACTAGAGCACACTCATATACTACTTGTACTATATAATTAATTACGATTAAAAGTAGCTAGCTAGCTACTAGGCTACTAGCTTAGGGGGCAAATTAATTATTTTAATTGTCCACTTAATAAATAAATATAAAGCGCTAAAGTAACTTAAATTAGGTCATATACATGTCTTGATAAAGACATAAGTAGTTCATTAAAAACGTACTTTAGGCAGAATAATAACAGAACAAATTGTCGTCTTGAACTTCACTTCTCCATCATCGATCCACCCCGCCTATACCCATAAATCCAACAATATAAATACTTCTGATCTACAAATCCCTTCACAGTAATACAAGAAATTAAATCAGGGATTAAAATTTAAATCAAAACCCCTGAATTAAATAAAAAAACATATAGAAATAATGGGATCCACAGTGATTGAAGCATGTCTGATAGGGTTTTGTGTGGCGGCGTATTTATTAGCAACGACGGTGACGGTGCATGGCGCTGATTTTGACGTCAAAAAACACGGCGCAAAGGCCGACGGGAAAACCGACGACACCAAGGCTTTCACGGCGGCGTGGGACGGAGCATGCAAGGCGCCGGGAGCTAGCACCGTCACGTTCCCGGCCGGGAATTACTTGGTTGGGTCCATTACCTTTCGCGGCCCTTGCAAAGCTCCCGTCTCCGTGCAAGCTCACGGGGCGACTCTGGTTGCTCCGGAAGATCCGGCCAAGGTGCAGAACACGTGGATACTGTTCACCAACATTGACCGGTTGACTCTCGCCGGCGGCATTTATGACGGCAAGGGCGCCACGGCTTGGAAGCAAAACTGCGCCAAAGCTGTCAAAGTTTGTAATCTCGCAATTGTAAGTGACGACGACAACTATCTTTAATTTTAGTCATGTTTTTAACGGGAATGAAATTTGATCCGATTGCTCCGGAATTGATCTGAAATTTTAATCTGATTTGATTTGATTTATTTAATTTTGGCATGATCTTGTCTTATAAATGTTTGATCTAGTGCAATTTGTAACTATAAAGGGATGATTTGATCTGCTATATATAGGACTGAAAATAGTACAAAGTAAAAACATCTTTACAAGCACACTAAAAAATATCCCACAAATATGTCTTTTTCAATTATTTTCCAATTCCCATAATAATTAATAAGATCGATCAGAGAATGATTTTCTTTTAAAAAATTTACTTTTTTAATACGGAATATATCAAGTCCCATTTTTAAGTGACATTATATTGAAGTTCATACGATCAATTTTCATTATTAACAAAGCAGTAATAAGTGACACTATATTAAGTACATTTCATACTCCGTATTTATTTTCTACGACTTTGTATCATAGAGCGCGGCAGCGCGCACTAGTACAATGAGGTGGAAAATGCTTCTATAAATAATTAGTTGGAGGTTGCTCTGATCTCCATTTTTAATTGGTGTTTTAATTTTATTTTAATAAGATTATTTTAAAATATTCCCTAATTAACTTCAATCAAATTCTTCAACTAGCTAGACTTTGTGCATGAATGGTCGAATGAGTCCAAGTATTAATTAATGGTTATAAAATCATGTGGTGCAACTTTTTATTCGAGTGTAACAATAGCTCAAATTTTTCTTAAAATCTGTGGTTTTAGATATAAAGGCATAATACACGGCGTATAAGAATATATAAACATACTTTATATACGGCTTATTGTTTAGAACGAGATACGTAGTAGTCCGTAACTCCGTATTAATTAAGGAAAAACGAGTGGCAAATTAAGTTCATTATTAAGGGAAAAAACTTCCAAAAATATTATTAATTCATATTGAAGTACGTGCAAAAGCTCATACGTAGACATTTATGTAAAAGATTGTTAGTATCTGCTCTGAAATTAAAAACAAATAAAGAAATAATACCGCATATATTTTATAACTAAAGTTTAAATGTAGACAAAATGTGCTATTTTGTACGCTAACTATATACGAAGTATATTGTATAGAACGTAGTAGTTTCTTTTAGTTAATTGATACAAACGAAATACTCCTTTCGATCACCTTTTTTTATTTACCCAAATTTGGTGGGTTAATAGTGTCTAACTCTAACCGATTATATATTTATATACATAAGTGTTTATGATATGAAAATGATATAAAAATATTCTTTGTTAAACATAGTATCATGAAAGTATAAAATTATTTAATTTCACATAAATATAATAGTTAAAATAATTGATCAAAGTTTATCATCTTTAACGGGAAAAGTGGACTAAATAAAATTACAAAGGATTAATGTAGTATATAGTTTTATTCAACATTTCAACTTTATTAACATTCTTTATACGGAGTATTTGTGTCCATAATTATTACTCCGTATCTAACTTTTATTTTAGGTAAAATAAAACTATAATCATAAACAAATGCCACATTTTCTAACTAATTGATAATCGCATTTTGGTTTGATGACGCAGAATCTGTACTTCTCTACGTTGACCAATTCATTGATCACTGGAATCACGTCGAAAAACAGCAAATATTTCCACATGAACGTGGTAGGGTGCAGGAACGTGACACTGGAGAAGGTGACGGTGGACGCTCCCGGAGACAGCCCTAACACCGACGGAATCCACGTCGGCCTCTCGTCCGGAGTAAACATCACCGGCGCCACCATAAAGACCGGAGACGACTGCGTGTCGCTGGGGGACGGCTGCGAGCGAATAAACGTGCAGGGGGTGACGTGCGGTCCCGGCCACGGAATCAGCATCGGAAGCCTGGGGAAGTATCCCAATGAGAAGCCGGTGACCGGAATAACGGTGAGAAACTGCACCCTTACGAACACCATGAACGGCGTTCGGGTCAAGACCTGGCCGGCTTCCCCCGCCTACACCGCCTCCAGCCTCCACTTCCAAGACATTATCATGAACAACGTTGGGAGTCCCATCGGCAACCCTATCCTCATCGATCAAAAGTATTGCCCATGGAACCAATGCAAGGCCGAGGTATGTATGTAATAAACATCCACATTAGTATTGACTACAAATTAAGAGTTTTAGATTAGATGTTTTCTTTTGGACCATTTTCCATCAATGATTATACTAGATCAGGGTCGGTCCTGAGGAAATGAAGACCCTGTGCAACAAAAATAATTGAGCCTTTTTTTCAAAGTTTCAACACAAGTTAAAAAAACCGAACCGAAACCGCACCGACTCAAACGGGACCCGAAAGTTGGGACTCGAACATAAATCGGTTTAATGAAGGTTTTTTGAGTTATAAAATCGGTTCAAACCGAACCGAACCGATTTTTATTAAGAGATATTTTTAATTATTTATTTTGTAGAACAAATAGGTAATATAAAGCTTGTACGTCCTTATTTCAATAATTAGTTGATTCATTCCAGTGGGTTGATGTTTAGAGATCAGCGTGCATGATTTTATTTTCACTTGGGTTCGAATCCCGCATGCCTCAATTCTTATCTTTTTAGTTTCTAAAGCTTAAGATTCCCACATCGATGGAAATGGAGATTTACTACTCCTTCGTTCCTATATATACACTCCACCTCTAAGTAATACTAGTATATTACTACAAAAAAAATTGGCCCTTCCAATTTTTTGGGCCCTGTGCGGTTGGACACCCTGCACGCCGCCAGGGCCGGCCCTGTACTAGATAATACTAGATCAGACAAGACCTAATTTAAACAGATCAGACCAGACTAGATAAGATTTAAACGGATCAGACCAAACTTGGACAATATAAAGTACACAAAGACCAGACATTCACCAGACCGGATCAGATCAAACTTAAACAGACAAGATCAAACCAGATCAAACTAGATCATCAAATTTCAATCCAAAAGAGATTTTGTCCGTATTCAAATTGTTTTTAATTGAACTCAAATTCTACCGTCTGAACTGATCTAACATGATCATGTGAATGATTTGTTATATTTCACTATTAGGGAAATCAAGTCTTATCTAATACTACCTATCATAATAGTTGCAACATTGGAATTTACACACTATTCATGTACTCTACTTTGACTAGATTTTATTTATTAATGTATGTGAATTAACTTTTTTTGAAAAATATTGTTGAATTCGTCTCATTACAAAGTTTCATAATCTGATTCTTAAAAGTTTTTACTAATAGAGAATTAAATATAATGACGATCAAAGTTGTGCATTGGCAAGCGTGAAAAAGGGAATGTTGCAACTAAAAAAGAACGAAGAAGTATGATCCAATCTGGTCTAATCTAATTTTCTCTAGTTTGAGTTTGAAATCAATCCAATTAAAACATTAGTCTACTGATTTTTATTGAATTACACATTTACACACATGTCTTGAAACTAATAAAGTTATTCACACAGTCCAAATGCATGTGATTGAGGTTTGTGTAGAGGAGAGAGAAAGAATTATAACCATAAATTAATTGATTAAATGGGATAATGACAAAATTTTTAGGACAAAAATGGATAAAAATGTTTTAAGGTACGCAGATGTATCTTAAGTTCACAATTGTATGCAGATATGACAGCTTTTGGTGTTGAATTTTTTCTCTGATAGGATGGTGCATTTCAATGAAATAAACTCTTAATTTAAACAAAATTATCAATTACTGAACATGATCACCATATGACAAAATAAGAGAATAATATAAATTGTGATACTAAACCGGCAAATTATTCTTCATTTTTGTAGTTGTTGTACTGTATGCTTTAAATTATACAAATTTCATATTTTGATAATAACTTTCAATTGTGTGAAAGTATACTCCGTATTATTATACTATCGGATTATGTAAAGTATTGTTACAGGTTTTTCAATTTATTTTTATAATGAATAATAGTATATCAGTACATTGACTTACAAAATATTCAGTATAATAAAAGTCAATGTACAAAGTTGACAAACATGAAATTAAAAAAAAAACTTATGTACGTAATTGAAAGAAATGAAGACTAATTATACTCTAATCGTTCCAAAACGAAGTCTCTATTTCAATTCATGTCGATTTACAATCATTTGAAATATTATTATTAGAGTTCTTAATTACTCCGTATTTACTTTAATTGGCTACATTATACTATACATTTATACATACAATAAATTAAACACTGCTCAAATTATATGATATGATACTAATGAAGGTACCATCAAGAATAAAGATAATAGATGTGGGGTTCAAGAACATCCAGGGGACGTCGGTGAGTAAGGTGGCGGTGAAGCTGGTATGCAGCAAAGCGATACCCTGCCAGCAGGTGCAGCTCACCGACATCAATTTGGTTTACGGCGGAAAGGACGGACCCGCCACCTCCGAATGCGACAACGTCAAGCCTGCCCTCGCCGGAAAACTCTTCCCTAAGCCGTGCACCGCCGTCCCGCATCCTTAATTGAACCGGCCCGGCCACCTAGCTAGCTATTGTTAGTATTGTGTACAAATTAAATGCATACAAATAGCATAATACGAAGTATAATAGGGAACATGAATAAATGTACTGTATGAGTTATATCGAGATATATACTGTATATGATATGTTATTAAGAAAATTAAAATGTATTAACACTTGTGGTAAAATACATCAGTGCTTGTAGTTATCTATACCACAATATATACAATATATAGTAGGGCAGTAGTAATTGACATTTTAATACGGAGTGTAATGTTCTATACTTCTATAATTAAGAGTTAATAATTATCTTTAATGAAGTGTACCAAATGTCAAAGCTATGACACATCCAAGACTGGAGGAACGGGATCTATGAAATTGCTATTTAACTAGGATGGCAATTTATCAAAAAATAAAATAAAACTAGTTTGGCAATATAAATTGTACACTTTTCTTCAAGGGATATTTCCCTAAATAAAACTAAATAAAAGGATAATTGTAACAATAGGAGTTTAATGTTTAAATTCCCAAAATAGGACTTACTCTTCCTATTCTACCCTTTCCCTTGTCCTTCCTAAGCTAATAGAAGTTTTTAAATAATCATTATAAAACATAAAAAAATTAAAATAAAAAAAAAATCATAAAAAATAAATAAAAAATATACAGACCTCAACCACCACCTCAACCACCTTCCAGCACTGCTACCTCCGGTCACCGGAAAAGATTGCCAAGTTGGGGGAAAATGTCATTGTGATGGCAATTTTGAAAAGAAAGCTGAATATTTTCAAAGAGTAAAAATGTCATCTTTATGGCATTTTTGGAGAAATGTGGATTTTTTTTACACAAGATGACATTTTTTCCAGCGATTAGAGGTGGTGGTGCTGTGCGGTGGAGGATGCAGAGGTAGTGGCCTACATTTTTTTTTAAATATTTTTTAGATATTTTATTTTATTTTTAAATTTTTTAATTATTTTTTTTATAATTTTTTTATTTTTTTATTTTATATTTTCCAGATTTTTTTCATTAATTTATATATATTTTTACAATTTTTATGTTTTTATTATAAATAAAACTATGATTTTTTGTATTAATAAATAAATCTATTAGAGATTTTGGTTGGGGGTAGAATAGGAAGAAGAGACATATAGTACTTCTATTATGGGAATAAAAAGAGTATAGTCCTAATGTGGAATTTTGGGCTACTTTTCGTCCCATTTTATAGGGCTAATAGCCGCTTCTTTAACTATAGATACTACTCCATCCGTTCCATTTAAAGGTTCCCGTCCACTATTCTCCGGTCAACGTGCATTGTTTTTAATCTTTTACTTTATATATCAAACTTTTATCAAATTTAAATTTTCTTGATCAGACTTTGTAGCGATTTTAATGTAGTTTCTGAATATGTAAATTTTATTTACTAAAAATAATCCTACTAATGACAGAGATCAATTAATTTTATGGCCAATCAAACGTCGTAAATCGTGTGGGAAGAACGTTTAAATGGGACGGAGAGTACTGATTAAGAGTCAATTAACTAGTTGTCTGTGCGGAAAAACTTTCACATTTGAACTTACCTCGTTACGTCCACCTGCAATGGTACAATCATCGTACAACAATTAACCATTAAAGGTAACATATCCATACAAAACTCTACAAGGTGTCATTCATACAAATCTAGCATATCCAAACAAGTGATGTGATAATAATTCTCTATGTATATGTAAAGTATTATCACATTCGAAAGACATTGTTGGGTCTTCTCACTACAAAAAAACATCTGCTTTGTCACGGATTTTGTAACGTACCGTAGTTCCAAAAATCCGTGACAAATGATTTTTATCACGGACTTTGTCACGGATTTTGTCACGGAACTATCCGTGACAACACGTTTTCTTGACAAATTCCAATATTCCGTGACAAAGCCCGTGACAACTTTGTCACGGCCGTAATCCGTGACAAAAATCCGTGACAAAACGCGAATATTTTTGTAGTGTCTTTTATTGAGAAGTTCAAGAGAATTTTAGAAAATTGTGATCATGAGAGTTCTCTATGTATGCGTAGAGAAGTATTGAATTTTATACGATAGTATAATACTACGTATATACATTGGAGTTTTTTAGAGAAGTAAAAAACTATCTAAAAACATTTAGCTAAAAGAGTAGGTAATATTCTAGAACAATGTAGAGTTCCCTAGAGAATGTATGAAATTATATATATCTAGAACACACTCTAGAATAGTGCAGTACATCATCTATGATCTTATAGAAGATTATAGAATTGATCGAGGCTTGTGGAGTCTTCCTGGAAAAACTCGGAAATGTAGAGGGACATAAGAAGTTCTAGAATGCCGCTCGTCTTTAGATATGAAGATTAATACAAATAGGGTGAGGCAACTCCTCTTCAATTTAGAGCAACTTTGTGGAGAGATCTTAAGAGTGTGAGGGTGCGAGCGTTTTTTCCACAGGAGGGAGTATTAAGAACAATGTTTATTAGATTTTCTTCTTTTTATTTATAGAAAAGACTATATACTCTTACTTTATACATGTGTTTAATTAGTTCAAAAAAAGTTCTCTGACATAGATTCATAAGTACTCCCTCCGTTCTCTAATAATTGTCTCGTATTTTTTTGGTATGTTTTTAAATATTTGTCTTTCTTTTCATTTTTAGTAAGTTTTTTCAATCAAAATATAAAAATACCTTTTTACACTCATTTTTATTACCCTTAACCCTTTTTACTTTTTTGTATACGGAGTAGTACTTTATCTTTCCTACTTTACATTACTTTACTCTTCTCAAGATTCTTTTTTCCCTACTTTTTGATTTATCATACACCCTTTATACTGCCCCTACTATTTTATTCTTAAAAAGAACAATAAACCTAAGCTAATACTAGTAGTGGTGTGCACAAACTGGTTCAAACCGGAAAACCGGAATGGAAAAACCGGAATTGAACTGACTTGAAATAATATCCGGTCCAATTTTTGGTTTTAAAATATTGTAAATAAAAACCGGATTGTTCTGGTTTGAACCGAATTAAAATGGTTTCGCTATAATTTTTATATATTAATTAATAGTAATATAATAAAATAGTTAGAAAATAATAAAAATAATAACAGTAATAAAAAATAAATAGTAATCCATTTAAAATTTAGTATATATGGTCCTAATGTTTTATTTTTCTATTTATTCTTATTTTCTTGATAATAGAATTGAGTAATATTTATCACTCTACATTCAAATTGTTTCAATGTTTGCTCTCAAAGGTTAGTATAAATAAATAAATAATATTATAGTAATATTATTAGTAACAAATACACCATTTTTATTAAACAAATTACTTGTATTTTTTATTAAATTAAAATTAATAATTTAGAAACCGGTTTTTATGGTTCGGTTCCGGGTTTGAACTGGTTAAATCGGTTTGGTGCAAAATCACATACGGAATACATCTGGTCTGATTTTTGGTTTATATTTATTGCAAATCCGGTTTCAGTTCCGGTCCAGTCCGATTTTGAACCGATGCACACCCCTACCTAAGAGGACTATTATTGAAGAATGGAGGGAGCATATTGTTTCTCCTTTATGTTATTTTATTTTATTGGGAGAACTATCAAATAAATACTCGAACTTTCATAAAAAGTGCAAATAAGTCCTTTTATAGGAGGTTTCTGAAATTGTTTGAGCATCTATTTCATTGGTACTTGGTAGTTCGAAGGCTTATTTGATACTTCTTCCTATTTTATTTGAAAGAATGACTAGAATATCACTTCTAGAGTTTCAATTTACAAAAAATTGACCAAATTTCGTGTGGACAAAAAATTGACTAAAATTGGAATGAATGGACTGAAATATCCTCAGTCCTAATTATCCGTCCGAGTAGCGCAGGACATATTTTACGCTCAACAATTCATCGAGGACCTCTTCTTCTCTCCTGCTGTGTTCGTATGCTTCAACCACAGTAGCGGCGGCACCATCGGCGGCATCCACCGTCTGCGACGTCTCCCTCATCATCTCCGTCGCCTATGCCCTCTTCATCGCTTGTGCTGCGTCTTCGATGGCGTCGACGCTGCCCTCGCTCATTTTCTTCTTCTCTTACTTTTCCTCTCTGTTACATGAGCGATTGGGGACAGTGAAGATCTAATAATGATGGAGATAGAACCGGTCATTCATTGATGGCGACTTTGGAACATATTTGTTGGCAAGTGAGGTTGTGCGAACAGATTTGGGGTGGGGCGGGACAAGGGCAGTCTTTAATGGAGCGTCGTCGCGGCTGGCGGATGTGCAACGAGGGTTTTGTGGAGGTGCGGTGGTGGTATGGTAGGCCTTAGGGCAAATTGGCTGGAGAAGGGGTTGAGTGCGGTGGAGGGAAGCAGTGTAGAGAGACTAGGACAAGGAGTGGGTGCTGGGAGCTGGGAAGCAGGTGCGTAGGGCTATGGGCAGGGGCGGGTTATCGGGGCGGCGGTAATTGGAGGATGTGACGGTTGAGGGCTTGTTGCGGTGTATGGCGGTGATGGTCACTGTCGTTGTGAAGGGGTTGGGGAGGTGGATGGGCGCTGGGAAGGGGTTGGGGCGGTGGTCGGCAGTGGGGAGTTGTCGGTAGTGTTGGTCACTGGGCAGAAAGTTTCGTCATTGGGCTGCGGGTTTGGTCATTAGCGGGGCAATAGAGGTCACTGCACGACAATCACCGTAGAAATTGGTCATCGAGCGGATGTCACTTTGTTAATTGGTCACTGGACAAAAGTCACTGTGTAAATTGGTCACTGAACAGAAGTCACTATAGGGTTGGTTACTCACGGTGGCCGGCGGAAATCACTATGACAGAGGTCACTGAATGGTATGTCACTGTGACGGACTAGGTCACTGATTGATAAAGTCACTAGGGGTCAGGGGTAATTTAGTAAGTGTAATGTTAATTAGTCACATTTTTGGAAATTAAAGAGAAAGTTAACTTTTTGGTCCATTTGCTAATTTTTAGTAATATTGGTGACCTAACCTCATTTTATTTTTTCGAGTATGTATCCATTCATTCTTTTATGTTGCATTTTTTTGTTACAATTATTGACTATTGTGTCTTTTTTCAAACAAATGACACAATGATGCTCTGTTTCGGTACCTGAATTTGGACAAAATCCGGATGTAAAAACTGGAAGCCATCCCTAATCTTGGCCCATGCCCCATGAGTACCTGGGTCTGGATGCAAATTTTTACATTCTCAACGGCGTAAATACCGAAAATCTATTTCTGCAGAAGAATCTCAGTGTTATCGATTGTTCAATATAAACCAAAACAGTATGTATAATCGAATTCCTTTGTACAGAAGTTTCCGTTTGCGGCAGCGGTTCAGGACCACCGGCTCGTCGGTTCTAAGCTATTTGGCAGCTCCTCTGTTGAGACGGAAAGCTCAGAATTCATGGGCTGCTGTTCAGGACACCTACTATTCTACCAAGGTACTGGTACTATCACAAGTATATGATTTTAAATCTGAATTTGTTTTGTCTTCTTCTTTTTAGAATATGTTTACTACTGCTGTAGGTTAGTTGATAATTTGATATGATATGTGTGTTTTTTGTAAATGGTTTTGTTGCATAGGACATATTTGAGAGCCATAAGGTGGTGTTTACCATATCGACTTCAATAGCATCCGTTGCAACAGCATGGGCTGGTATTTATCTAGCTGCTTATTGAATTGTTCAGTGAAGTTTTTCCTCAAATGCTTTCTTACAGGTGTTGCTTAAAAATTATGGCTTGCCTTATGTTTAGTGAAAGTTCTGCGTCAATTCGAAATTGTAACTGATCATTTTGAATGTGAAAACATGAACTACTATGTATTCAAAACTAATAAAAACTATAGGAATTCCCAGGAGTAACTAGTAGGGAAAAATCTAGTTCACGATAAATGTATACTAACATGGTCTAACTTTGAATGGATCACTCAACCACCGTTGACATTTACCATGTCATAATGTCTTGTTTCTTACACGCCTAATTTTTAGAAAAAGTCAATCTTTTGCTCTAATTCTGAAGTCCAGTCAATTGTTAAAGTATTGTCAATCTAGTTGTAATCCAGATGTAATCAAGCGATGCATACCATGTCAAAACTTATGTTGAGATCCAAGTATCCCACATTAGCAGTGATAAACATTAGCTAGCTGTGGTTACAAAAAATTGCAGTCAGCTGTTATAAACTGATGCAACTTTGCTAGGTGTTGAACTAAGCTGCTGTTAGATCTTAAACACTGATCAAATAGTGCAGTTACAGGACCTATGGATCTGACGATTTTAAATAATTTGATAACATGCAAAAGATGATGAGTTGACTTGTTATGGCCATGAATAAAACTTGTTATGGACCTATGAATGAATCCAACCAACCTAGAGTAGTTGACAATGTATATGTCATGAGAATAGAATGACAATAAAACTGTCTTATCATGCACTAAAGAGAAAATGTTTGAGGTATGGATTTGCGAATTTCATGGACCAAATTGAGATCTTGCATATTAGATTTCATAAGTGACACGAACTTATGTTTTTTTGGTAATTATGTCTCTCTTATATGCAATTCTTCTGGGGAACTTTACTACTTTTCTTTGGCTAAGTCAAGACTTAGGTTGTTTTTACTTGGACTGTAATTTGCTGGTCTGGTCTGGTCTGGTCTCTTTGTATTTTTATAACTATCCAAGTCTGGTCTGAACTAGTCTGGTCTGGTCTGGGAGGAATTACAGTCCAAGTAAAAACATCCTTAGACCAAAGGTGGTTGCATCCAAGCTTTTGAGTTGAGTTCCCTCTCTTACTCATTGAGTTTGTAAAGATATGTAGGAGAAATTTGTTTGTTAGTGTTTGCTTAGTGTCCATTGACAAATAGTACTCCATATGATATTCTCTATTTCAGTTTACTATTTTTCCTGACTTCTGGTTGAGCTGTTGAGACCCTGAAGATGTTTAGAGCTCATGCAGGTTATTTACTACGCCACTATCATGAATCAAGAGTTGACCAACGGCTTGATTGTATAGAAAAATCTGTAAGTATCTACGGCGGATAATATAGTCTGTTAGCTGTTTTGGTGCATGTTTCAATTTGTAAACTTGAATTTCAAGAGTTATCAAAACAGCAAGTCAATCTGTTTTAGTAGAGATCAAATTGAGGGAGTTCCAATGCTAGAAATTAGTGTTGCTAGTTGTGCATGTAATTTAGTTTTATTTTGAATTTTAATTGTATGCCTTCACTTTTTTTTCAGTTTGTTGGAAATTGAAAGTTTTTTAACTTTATGTCCTCTCTAATTTTATGGAAGAACTGGGGATGATACAAATACCTTTGAGATGAATTAGAAAATAACACTCCCACATTGTTTGCTCTCTTCAAAATGTGATGGTGCGTTAAAAATGAATTAAGGAAATTCATCAATAATTCTTTTATCAATTTTGGACACCGTATTTGAATTAATATCAATGCCCCTGCACTCTCAGTGATGAATGGCCTTATGGCCTACATTCCCTTAGCAATGCTTCAGAGGCAAATATGTTTCTTAAATTGTAAATAAGGTGTAAAGGTGCTTTGTTTATTGCAGATGAAAAGGAAGTATGATATCGAAGATCCTGGGTTTAAGAAGCTTGTTTCAGGTGGCATCAGCATTCCCGCTTGTGTTGCAACTGCTGGAACTACGTTGATTGTTGGGTTTGTGAATTTTTAGATTCCATCGTATACTATTTTTTGTCTTTGGTGCTGTTTCTTCACCTTATTTTTTTTCTTTAAATCACCCAAGTGCGTGATAAACTCATCATTGCACTTTCTTCACCTTATCTTTTTCTTATTACTTGCTCTTACTAGTTACTCCACCCGTGCGTTGCACGGGGTGAAATATCTATCTACATTAGAATTTAAGTGAATTATATACTCCCTCCGGTTCTGAAAGATCTTTACACTTTCCATTTTTAGCAGTACCAGAAAGATCTTTACACTTCCTTATTTGCCTTATTTGGAAAATAAATCTACACAAAACAATGTCAAACAGTGCCAAACAGTGTACCTCTACGGTAAAGTCAAATTTATTTCCTTAAAAACTGTGAAATCAAAGTGTCAAGATCTTTTGGAACCGGAGGGTGTAAAAAGTACTACATAATAAATACTTGACCGTGAATCAATTAATTGAAAATTTATATAAAATAAAACGACGTACTTAGGATGTTTTTATTTTGACTGAAATTTTCTGGTCTAGTCTGGTCTGAACTGATTTGATAGATGCTTGGTCTTTGTGTATTTTACAATTGTCATCGGGATTGAAATATATCCAAACATCCTTAATAGAAAATAAAAAATTATCCTGGATGTCCCGATCAGAAATATTATACATTATCAGACCAGGAAGATATTATACCAGATGAGACCAGATCAAATATTCTGATTTGACTAGAAAAGTAAATAACATTAGAAACACTCAGACTAAAACGGACCAGAGCAGATGCTCTCTTTAGACAAAAAACTTGACAAGATCAATGACATTCAGATTAAAAAAGACCAGTCTTAAAAAACTCCCGATTAGATTACATTTTATATGCAAGGATAACAGGTCATTAGCTGTTCACATTTCATATTTCACGCGATTCTGCAATCCTTTTCATACACACCCACACACATGCGCGCACCTCATGATCAACAATGTATAAAATCTCTGCGAAAAACAATGTGTATGTTTTTGTTAATAAATTGAACACTTCTGTGACAGCAAAGTGCATCAATTGGAAACTTAAATGTGTAGCGTGATGAACCAAAAGTGAACTGTTTTGCATCATTCTCATTTCCATAGAATGCATTATTTTCACAGTTTCACCGTAACCCTGACCTGCACACACACTCATCTTATGTTTTTTTCTCCATATTAGCGTTTGACTGAAAAACAAGAGAGCAGAACTTGTTGCCTTCCAATTCATATCTGAACAAGGGGTTTCTTTTTATTGAATGTATGTGTAGATATGGCTTGGGGTGGCGAGGTGGGAAGTGGTATGCAAATAAGCAGTTCAAAAGGGAACAGATGAAACTATTGGGACTAATAAAACCAAGAAGGTGGCGTCTTAGGTTACCCCTTTCCAGATTAAGGTCATCGCAAGGGAGTGATGGTGGTGCTAAAGCTCCAGAAGCATCAATAGCATCTGGTGTTGCTGTTCAAAGTCCAGGACCTAACCTGTAATTATTCATTACTAAACATTCTAATTTACAACTTTATTTTCACTTGTTGATCGAATTAAAGATCAGCTAGCACCAAAGGTCCTTATCAGAACACCTACTCTTATTTTCTAACTAACAACACACACATATAAAGCCTAATCTTACTTGCATTTGACTGGAAAGAGGGATATAATTTGATTCTTTTGGTCTATCTTGCATGGTTACCTTAGGAGTTAGGACTTCCAATATTTTTGAAGGTCCAACACCAAGTCATGGAAATGGTTCTCCAAATACATATCCAATCTGCATTTTAATTTTTTATTATTATCATTGAACAAACAGATTAGACTAGTTCTCGAGGAAAAAACAGATTAAACCAGCCCTCTTAATAGTCGAATGTATGATAGAATGAACCTAATTGTCTAATCAATGTAATTGTATCAAACTAGCCTATGAATTACAGTGGATCTTAGCAATTGAATCCTTTAAGGGGAACTCTTTTCAAAGTCACACAATCCCCATATATATTAGTCATAAATGCTAAGGGCATTAAATACATGTATGCGTGTAAGCTATTCCATAAAAATAAGCTGATGGGTTGGATGAGGGGTTCAAGCTGATGGGTTACTTGGATGATGGAGACTTTGTGGAGCGGATTTGTTAGGAGTTCATTTTGTATGTTGTAGTTGCTCTCGGTCATGCAGAGGCCTAGCTGAGAGGTAGTGGGCCGTCTGTTGGGATTTAGTCGCTTGTTGGGCTCGTTCTGGCATGTAGTGAGAATGTGGGTCGGTGGGCCAAGTCAATATACTCAATCAGTATGTTTATAGGGATTGTCATCAGTACCCATTCCCTTAAATAAAGAAATTGTAAAGATGTAATAAAGCTTGAATTGTGCTACAATTTATGTTTCCCTTTCTTATATGTCAAATGTCAATTCCCCCATTCAAGAGTCTAAGAAAGTGAAAGTTTCTCGTTCGAGGAGTGAGGTCGATCGAAGAAGAAGAAGCAAATGGTCTTAAATATAGCCAACTGATATGCTTAGGCTATGTTCGGAGGCCGTTTCAGCTAATAATGGGCTGAAATATTTTAGATTCAACCAATTATTCATTAATCAGTGTTGTTTGGATGAATGACCACAATGAGCTGCAATTGAAATAAAAGAACTGAGTTGAAATGTTGATGAAGCTAGCGTCTTAATGCAGCCAATCTTGTAATTCCTGTGTTCTCCTCGCCGCTCTTCTCTCTCCTTGCATGTCTCTCGCAAAACCTACCCAAGCTGGAAAGCTCATGCCCGTTGTTGTGTATCTTTTGTATGACCCTTCTCTCCACCAGCTCCCCTACCACCACCATTTTTGCAATATCTATTGGTCCAGACTCTGTCGTCAATGTCAGTACATTCATACATGGACTGTCGAGTCCTCGTCGCATCAGTTTCCAGAACTCCGTCCATTCGGCAAAGTTGTATTACTTCGGGATAGGGCGGGGCAAAGGGTTGGTTCGTTGTCATAAACGGTGATATGCTTAGTTAAGGAGTTGCTCTATTGAGGATTGTGCTACAAATTTTTGTCAAAGACGGTATTCATCAAACCGCTGTTTTGCCAATTTTGTGAGCTTCTTTTGCATTACTGCTTATGATATGAATTCTTCTCAAACAATAAGAAAAGGGAAGCTCTCGTACTAAATTTGCTGAAAAACTATAAATATTAGAAATATATTTTATACACACACACACAAATATAAATATATATACTGCAATCTTTTTTTTGAAACAATATACTCCCTCCGGTCCTAAATGAAATTCACACTTTCCTTATTGGGTAGGTCCAAAATAAACTTCACACTTCTTCTCTCTTCCTTATTTGGCAAATTATCTACATCAAAACAGTGCAAAACAGTGCCAAACAGTGTCACAACAGTGTACTCTATAGTAAAGTCAAATTTATTTCCTTAATTTGTGTGAAGTCAAAGTGTGAATTTCATTTGGGACCGGAGGGAGTATACTACAATCTTAATATTTATTAAAATATAAAATCATTATAATAAGTAATTCATTGTTCTAATTAATTATATGCCCTGTAAGGTAATTTCATATTATCTGGGCATTTTTCAATTTTTTTTTGCCAAACGGGCCTACTCCATTTCACTAGCATTTCAAATCCAATGTTTCAAAGTTCACCTCCAGACATGATTCAGACAGTAGTCCCTATTTCACTAAAGATATTTATTTTAATTTTAAATAATTTAGTTGTTGTGATTAGTAAATTGGTGACTTAACTTTCCCTTCTTTAAAATTAGTTGTTGTGATTAGTAACCTAAATATTTATTTTAATAATCTGCATATCCCAGATGATAGACAGGAGAACCAAATTTTCCCAAACTGTATGGCTTAAGTAAACCTTTAGAGATCTGCTAATTTAATCCTCTAGAAAAAGGTTCAGAAGTCAAAATAAAAAAATGGGGAAAGAGGGCCCCCTTGCTTTACTCCTCTTGTAGGTTTGAAATAGCCATAAGGAGACCCATTAATTAAAACAGAGAGATATGTAGCCTGAAGATTATTTAGGATGATTTTGATAATCTAATTAACAAAACCAAACTGCTGCATCACTTTAGTGAGGAAACTCCAAGAAACCTGATCAAAAACCTCAACCATATCAAGATTAATGACCATATTAGAGCCTCTAATCTTCCTATCAATTGCATGGATCATTTCCTGAGCTATAAGGATCTGATCTGCCAAGTCTTTCCCTTTCACAAAATCGGCTTGTTCATTAGAAATTAGCTTAGGCAGTAAAATAGATAACCTGTTGGCCAGCACTTTAGATCAAACTTTGTTGATAAAATTTGACAAACAAATAGGTCTAAAATCAACAAAAGATGAGGTGTTTTCTTTTTTAGGTGTAAGCACTATGAAAGAGCTACATAAACCTTTAGGAATAGGAACCCCCAAGAAAAATTCTTGAACAACACTAGTGACATCTTCCCTCACATGTGCCAGCTTTTTTTTTGAAGAATTTCCCATTGTATCCATCTGGACCTACTGCCCCATTTTGATTAAGTTCCTAGATATATTCTTTAACTTCCTCAGCATTATTAGGTAGATTAATTAATGCCTAGTTTTCTGTATCATCTACTAACTTGGGTATATATTGCAGAATGTTATCAGGGTGCTCTTCCTATTAATTCGCATGTGATGATAAACACGACCAGATCAAGAATGACGCACACATGGGTTTGTAGTCGTCATAGGAAACATATATAAATAAATTATGGCGAAATTGACATCAATAATCCATACTCTTACACATTTTACAAGAATAATTTCTACTTGAAAAATTCACAGCAATAATCCCAAGTAGTTAAGTGTTTTACAAATATATATATATATATAGTGTTTTACAAAAATAAACCGAGTGCTAACGCTATTAAAGTTTCCGTTATTTTCTTATTTTAAATATATTGAAATGAAAATATATATACATTGATAATAATATATTTGAGTTTAATTTTGTTTCTACTAAAATAAAATTTAATATTCAATTTTTTTTTTCATAAAACATAATAGAAATATTTGAACATTACATAGTACATACTCTTCAAATTCTCTATTCTCTTTTATTCCTTATCAATAAGCTATTTATATTCATTTATATATGTTATTCATTATAATAGAGATTTCAAAGTATTTTTAGTAATACTACTTGATGGAGTATATGGGTCAAGACCCCATGACCCACATACTCAGAAGACTAAGAGGAAGCGCGGCTGTCACTCAGTGGGTCCTCCTTCGGCCAGGTGGCCCTCCACCAGTCGTAGAAGAGTCGATCCAGAATACGGTCCAGAAGCCAAGGAGAAGAATTGTCCTCCGTCGGCCGGTGCCCCCGTCGGCCTGTGCCTCCATCGGCCAGTGCCCCCGTCGGCCAGTGCCTCCATCGATCGGTGCCCCCGTCGGCCGGTGCCTCCGTCGGCCGGCGCCCCCGTCGGCCAAGCAACAGTCAGCTCAGAATATGGCCCAGACAGCAATCAGCTCGGATGGTCCTCCGTCGGCCGTGTCTCCATCGGCTAGGCGCCTCCGTCGGCCGGCGCCCCCGTCGGCCAAGCAACAGTCAGCCCAGAATATGGCCCAGGCAACAATCAGCTCGGATGGTCCTCCGTCGGCCATGTATATATCCATCGGTCAGGAGCATCCTTCGGCCGAACCTCCTTCAGCCACAGAGAACTCCCAGAACCGGATTTCATACTTAGTTATTTTTACACTCTTTGTACTCCGCCCAGTAGTGGCCCAATTGTAAATGAGCCTCCCAAGCCCAAGATTTGGGAGCCCGACCCTAATTTCCTCAATAAATACTCCCCTTGGGAGCCATGTAATGGGTTCAAAATTCATTAATACAAAGCAATTATACTACTTCTCTCTCTAGCTCTCACTTCTCTCTAGACTTATAGTCTATCAATGACCATTTTAGTTATTTTTATATATAATTTTTTCTTTATTTTATTAATAAAATATATTTTAAAAATATTTTTTTCTTAAATCAGCACAATTAGCCAATGCAGTCACTTCAGCTAGAACTTTATAAATTTCAGCAAAATCAGCCAAAACAACCGATTTTCGTGCTACCAAACGAACTCTCGATTGGTTTCAACTTATTGAGTTACAATAAGTGATTTATAATTTATATATGTTGACATTGACAAGATATGGTACTTTCAGCTATCTAATTTAGCTAATTATAATAAGCATAACATGATACGTTCCATACTTAATAATTCATTGATCTCTGTTTTTCCTTTTATCAATAAATCTCATCTTTTTGAGAAAAAGAATAATTCATTGATCTATATATTCCCTCCGTCCCGTAAAATAATACTCAATTTCCTTTTTGGGTCGTCTAAAAAAATAGTTCATATTTCCCTTTTAGGAAAGTTTTGTGTGGCTCACATTCATTTACCTTTTTCTTACTCAACCACAACCATATATTTCCAGAGTCGTAGATGAGCCTGTGCAAGCTAGGCTACTGCACAGGGCCTCCAAAAATAAGAGGCCCATTTTTTAAAAAATTTAAATAGTATATATATATATACATACTCCCTCCGTTTCCAAAAGAAAGTCACGGTTTGACTTCACAATCATTAAGGAAATAAATTTACCTTACTGTAGAAAACGCTATTTAGATATTGTTTGGCACTGTTTGAACACTGTTTGACACTGTTTCGCACTGTTTGGATGTTGATTTCTTTGCCAAATAAAGAAATAAGGGAAGTGTGACTTTATTTTTGAAACATCTCAAAAAGGAAAGTGTGAGTTTCTTTTAGAAACGGAGGGAGTATGTATAAAGTAGAGAAATATTCAGGTCCGGAATTTCGGACCAGAACAGCCGTCCGGACGGTGGCGTTTTAGCCTCTTCCCGGTAAACTTTTTTGATGAAATTTTTATGCCATGTTAGTCATCAAATCTAGTTTAGCCACGAAAAAATTCAGCTATATATTCAATCCAGAAGGTCGTCAAATAATTTTTGGAAGTTAACTACGTTTTTATATGCATATTCCAGCGCAGTTATCTTTCAAAAATCATATAACGGCCTTCTCGATTAAGTTTTTAGCTGAAATATTTTTTGAATAAACTAGACTTGTTGAAGAGCATGCCATATTTTCCATTCATGTGTATCTATTTTATAATATATATATATATATATATATATATATATATATATATATATATAGAGAGAGAGAGAGAGAGAGAGAGAGAGAGAGAGAGAGAGAGAGAAGATCATGTGAGAAGTCCCCCTTAGGCTGAGAAGCTGCGAAGTCTAACTTATAAAATCAAAACACGAAATTTTAACCAATAAATCATAACTTATAGACCTTCTCCACAAAAAAATACGAAAATGCCACCGCGTCAAAATAACTCCTGAAACCTGGATTTTTTTTTTGCAGAAAGTTCGTGTTTTTGAGGGGGTCTATAAGTTATGATTTTTTGGTTAAAAGTTCGTGTTTTTTGCTTATAAGTTAGACTTCGCAGCTTCTCAGCCTAAGGGCACTTCTCAGCTGATCCGCTCCCTATATATATATATATATATATATATATATATATATATATATATATATATATATATATATATATATATATATATATATATGAGAAATTTTGGATTAAATTTTTATGGCATGTTATTCATCAAGTCTAGTTTATTCTCAAAAAAATCAACTAAAAATTCAATCGGGAAGGTTGTCAAATAATTTTTTGAAGTTAACTGTGTTTTATATGTATATTCCGGCGCAGTTATCTTTCCAAAATCATTTGACGGCCTTCGAGATTGAGTTTTTAGCTGATTGTTTTAATGAACTAGACTTGGTGAAAAACATTCCATAAAAAATCAATCAAAAAATTCCACTTGGAAGGGCCCCAAAAGCCGCCGTCCGGATGGCGGTTCTAGTAAGAAATTCCTGACCGGAAGAGTACTATATAGATGGAACCTTCTATATAGTACTAATACATCCAGACCACGCGAACCTTCTATCAGAAAATTTACCGGACTACGAGGATTTGAGAATCACAGTTGGAAATGGAACTGCAACCGAGATGAGTGCAATTGATCTTGGTGAAAATATAGATGCTACAGTGTTGGGAGTAGAGTAGATGATGAATCTGGTGGAATTGGTGACATTGATTGAATTGGTGAAAATACAGATGCTAACATGTTCACACTGAATGAAAATGTGTCATCCCACCATGAGGACTCGTCACATCTTCCACAAGATGAAAGTAGGAATATAGAGGATCCACCTTCATGAAGCAATAGAGCTAAAGGAAAATGATTTTGAAAACAAAGGAACCTAATAGTCACACAGAGGTTATTGAGAGCTTGTCAATGGGGTTTAATAAAATTGTTAAGAGTTTTGATAAAATTTGTTATTTAATGGAGAAGAAAGAATCAAGAGAGTGATCTTTTGGATGCTATGAAGGAGACCCCTGGAATAACCGATGAGGATAACCGATGAGGATTGGTTTAGAGCTCTTGATTTGCTTAATACCAAAGCAAAGCAAGATTTCTTTTTGAAGATGACTCCTGAACAACGATATCATTGGATCATTGACCTATAAACATATGTAATAGGTTTAATTGCATTAGTGATAGAGTATTTGCTTTACATACTTTATGGAGTTTCCGATTTCAGGATTTTTGCAATTTTGTCACTGTTTTGATTATTTATTTAGGATTAAAACGTTATATGAATTATTTGAACTTGGTTTATGGATCAATCGTTACAGTTCATATGTTTTAGTATATATCATTTATCATAATATACATTTAATAGTACATGTCTTTATGTTTTTTATTAGCAATGTCTGAAACAAGCATACATGGAGTTGATGAAGATGAGGTAGAGTTTTATGAGACTCTTAGGATATTGCTAATGGAAACAGAAGCAGTGATTTACGTTATATATAATCTCGCTTCAAGGATCGATGGTGAATCTATTACACAACCATTGACTCGACGACCAGTGACGTCTAACGGGTTAAAATATATGAATGAAATAATGAGTGAAGACCCAAAACAATTTCGAGATGTATACAGAATGTATCCTGATATTTTTCGAAAACTATGCACTATCCTAAGATACAAAACGCCTTTGACGGATACACGATACATATGTGTTGAAGAAATGGTTGCAACATTTTTGCTTGTTGTTGGTCAAAACAACCGCTATAGTCAACCAAAAATGATATTTAAGCGGTCACACTTCACTATCAGCAGAAGTTTCAATAAAGTGCTGAAAGCATTGAATACAATAGCTCCAGAATTTATGGCTAAACTTGAGTCAGTCCTACATGTCATCAGAGAAAGTACAAGGTTTTATCCTTACTTTAAGGTAATAGTACAACATTTCATGCTATTTATTAATTTCAAAAACACAATGAAGTATTTTTTTAAATTATATTGGTTTATTCTTTTTTTTTATTATAGGATTGTATCGGGGCTATAGACGGCACTCATATTCCAGCAACAATAGTTGGACGAGACGTAAGCAGCTACCGAAATTGTCATGGGACTATATCACAAAATGTGCTGGTTGCTTGCAATTTCGATTTACAGTTCATATATGTGCTTAGCTGTTGGGAGGGTTCAGCTCATGATTCTAAAGTGTTAAATGATGCTATTTTGAAGCAAAATGGTCTCAAAGTGCCACCAGGTGATATTATTTATATTTACGTATCATATACCACACTAATATAATTATTTCATGCATAGGTAAATATTATTTAGGGGATTGTGGGTTTCCAAATCGACGTCAATTTTTAGCTCCATTTTGAGGGACCCGATATCACCTTAAAGATTTTGGTGGCGAAGGAAATCACCTCGTTAACGCAATTGAGTTATTCAATCTCCTGTTGGAATAAATCCGATAATACTTTAATCTTCATATTGGAATTATCTAGAGACATAACAGAGCGGAAGCGTACCTGACTCCATGGGAGTTGACCTTTAGAGATCCGAGATACGGAGGCTAGGGTTTGCGTCTTCTAGTTGATACACACCCTCGCGATTATCTCTCTAGCGATGAGATGCAGAAAGACGGAATGACGTGTTCAACTAGGGACCATAACCCCTTATTATTTATAGAGAATGCTTAACCCTAATCAGCCCATCATTAATTAGGTTAAGCCAATGGGTCTATACACATTTGGACCATATACCTTATTAGATAACTTATTAGCCCACTTAAATTAATATCCATAGGACCACTAATTTTTGGGCCTAAATATAAGATAGCATATAACATACAATTAAACCCGATAAATAATATACTGTGAGTAATACATGTAGTATGAGTCCAATAATCTAACAATCTCCCATTTGGACGACATACACATGTATATACAATCCTTAGCATTGTATGTTTACTTTAGGAGCTCCAAAAATTTGCTATCAAACTGTAGTCATCTTTAATCAATCCGGTCCATTAATTATATCAACATAGGACCAAAGAAGTCTTTGCTATATTTGAATAACTAGACACATCAATGATCACATACATTAATATAATAAACAACATGGATCAAGTATAGGTGTGTAGTATCTTAAATCACGCTTCACAATATTCAAATCAGCACCACCGTTTACGTATAACACACAAGCGGAACTAGTTTTGGCTTGTGTAGGATTACATAATTTTCTCCGGCGTGAGTGCCGGTCTGATGAATTTCCTCTAGATCCAGAAGAAGATAGTGATAGAGAGGAAAATTTTGAATGAGATGATTTTCAAACACAAGATCAACAAAGAGCAAAACCTAATGAATGGAGGATGGATATTGCTACTCATATGTGGACAAATGAGTGAGATGACAACAATGAAGATGAATAATGTCCCGATCTATTGTTTAGTAGAAGAAAATATTGTTTTTTTTGTGAAACGGATCGGTCATATTTGATAATTTTTATTATTATTTTGTACAATACTACTACTTGATTTCATTTCAGCTTGAATTGCAGGTGGGGATTATTTAAGAGTTAAGACCATGTGCATATATAAATACATTTTTGATTATATCCTTTTGAATAGCAAGAATCTATCAGAATCCATATTCAAAGTCTATGAATTTGTTGAAATCCATAGGAGTCATTCATATAAAAGTCATTCATTTTAAAAGTCCACATATTAAAAGTCAATGGATTTAAAAGTCCACGGATTAAAAGTCCATGTATTTAAAAGTCGATAGACTTTTTTAGAAATCCACGATTAAAAAATATCCACCAACATCCATACGATACAAGAGAGAACCACAATGATTCACCACACATGTGAAGGGTGGCCATAGATTAAAGAATGCTTAAAGCCATACAAAATCTTGAAAAATACTTGCCTCAAAACAAGCTCAACCATGCTATTAATTGTAGAGGCCAAAGCACCCACAAGAATTTCCTTTAAATTCTGCCTCTTGCCCTCCCCTAAAACAACACTGCAAAATTCCTCACCTTCCCAAATCGCTCGAGAAGGAAATACATACATATAAATATATATATATATATATATATATCACAAACGTATACTTCTCTTATTAGGCAAAAAATGGAAATTTCAAGATCGGTTCTTGTGACATTTGTCATGACACTTCTCGTTTGCTCCCTCTTCGTCAATGAATCACATGCTCAAGGGAATGTTAATAACAATGCAGCTGTTCCCCCAACTCAGGCTTCTTCAGGTGAAGCCGCCGCCGCCGCCGCCGGGGGTGCTGCCGGCACCGGTGATAACGACCCGGCCTCCCAAGGTTTGGATGGTGTTGAAGATTTCACGCCCGAAGTCTTTGTTCTTGGGCATTAACCGATATCGTTCCTTCGGTTAAAGATTGATTATATTGCGATTTGTTGTAAAGATTGATACCTTTTCAATTCTTTCACGGCAGTTGTAAAATTACTATACATTCAATTGAAAGTAAAAATAAAGAAGGCCAAGACACGTCCTTAATATCAACTTATTTTGTATTCCTTCATCTCATGATACAAAGGTTCTTACTTTTGTTTCTTTGTTCCATATAAAAGTTTACATTTCTATTTTAGAAAACAATTAACTATCTTAACTGAAAATTTAATAATTAATTACTACCTCCGTCCCATTAGAAGGTTCTCGTCCACTATTTGCATGGTCAACTTAAATCATTTTTAATCGTTTATTTTATAAATCAAATTTTTATCAAATTTTCATTTTTTTATCAGCCTTTGTAGTGATTTTAATGTAGTTTCTGAATATATTAATTTTATTTACTAAAACTAATCAGAGTGTGAACAAGGATTAAGTTGTTTTATCCTCAGTCAAGCATCGTAAACCGTTCACGGGAATCTTCTAATAGGACGGAGGGAGTTAAGATTAACAATACTACATTTATGACATCACAATTATCACCATTAATCTCAAAATATACTCGAGTTACCTTATTCATTTATTGTCTTAATAATCGTGTCATTTTGCGTTTGGAACCTTTGAACAAGATGGAAGTGATAATTATTATAAACATTTTAAACTAACTTAAAAAATTTCAAGCCTACAATGCCGAAAAATCGAAAATATCTCGAAACTATTCATGATCATTTTAACTAATTAGTTTTCTTAAGCAAAAAAACAATCCTCCAACGATTAGTTATTTACTTTAAATGGCAAGCAAGTGTTTCAAATCAACCTGAAGATGCTCTAACAATTCCATACAAGGGGTAAATTCATTAACATTTGTATGACAATGATCATTTTAAGCTAGTTTTAAAATGTACTACGTAAAAGGTAAAGAAATTTTTGTGAAAATTCAATTCGAAACTGTGGTGATAATCAAATTCGAGATAGCAGGAATTGCCTATCCACTTCACCTGCAAGGCTCGGTTTTAAAAATAAAGATATCTCCATCAAATATTGTGCCACAATATCACACTCCCTCCGGTCCCAAATGAAATTCACATTTTGTCTTCACACAAATTAAGGAAATAAATTTGACTTTACTGTAGAGTACGCTGTTGTGACACTGTTTGACACTGTTTGGCACTGTTTGACACTGTTTTGCATTGTTTTGATGTAGATAATTTGCCAAATAAGGAAGGGAGAAGAAGTGTGAAGTTTCTTTTGGACCTACCCAAAAAGGAAAGGGTGAATTTCATTTGGGACCGGAGGGAGTATTCAAATTGGGCGGGGTTGAAGGGGAAATGATTCATCCAATGGGTTATTCATTTTTTTTGTTACTCCAGGGTCTGGGGGAGGAGAATGGGGGGGGGGGGGGGGGGGGCTGGAGTAATCAGGGCTGAAACTCACTCTATTGAGTTTCAAACCCTTTATGTGCCTAGCGGATTTCGAACTCGAGACCTCCCACCAGGCATGTTAACCTCACAACTAGCTGGGCTGGAATGATTGGTTTCATCCGATGGGTTATTCATTTTTAGTCTTACACTCCTATTTAGCTTTATAATTTCTTTGAATTTATTTACTTTAGCTATATAGATGTTATTCCTTCATGTCTTGTACTACATAGTTTTTAACTTTTAGTCGGCACAGCGGCAGGAGCGGTGGCAATAGCAATAGCAATGGTTCTCGATATACGAAGTATAATACTCCTAATAAGCAAGATTAAAAGTACAAAAAAGAAATAAAAAGCAACAATAAACAATTTTAAAATGAAAAAAATAATAATGTAATACTACGGTCTACGGAGTTAAAAATAAGAAAAAATATTAGGGGTGGGCATAAAACCCGAACCGAACCGGTATCGAACCGTCCCGTAATGGTACCAAACCGAATACCGGGTATTTAAACGGTTCTATAGATTTTCATCCCGTACCGAAACTGTACCATTTTAAACGGGTATGAGACCGATCCTAGGTTTTGAGAACCGAAAAATACCGGACCGGACCGCTAAAAAATAATGCATGTTAAATTTTTATATTTTTTCCATATCAATAAGTCTCTTTTCTAGACTAACAATTTTTATAGCCCAAGTATGTGTTCATGCATCCCTAAAATAGCTAAATGTGTGTTTATATACTCCCTCCGTCCCGTTGGAATGTTCCCGATTTGACCTACACACATATTAAGGAAATAAACTTACCAGGGGTAAATTTTACTGTTTTGACACTGTTTCGATACTGTTTGGTACTGTTTCGACACTGTTTGACACTGTTTTGCACTGTTAGACCCTGTTTTTATATAGGATAACTTTCCATTTAGAGAAATGGGAACTTTCCAACGGGACATCCAAAAATGGAAAGCGGGAACATTCCAACGGGACGGAGGGAGTATATATATATATATATATATATATATATATATATATATATATATATATATATATATATACACACACATATTGTTATTTTTTATTTTTAGATAATTTATGTTATATTTTGGAATGTATTGAAAGAATGTTAAAGTTTTAAAAAAGATTAATGACTATTCATTTCTAGTAATGTAGTGTATATGACTTTTTGTTATATCATGTTTGTGGAATTTTACAACATAATTAATATGGTTTAAATCTTAGCTCTCAAGGTTCAACTATAATTTAAATTAGAATTATATATGGAATAATATTTAACCTAAAACAAAGAAGAAGAACGTTGAAGTTTTCTATTATATTCAACAATTTGATGATATTCTTTTTATATGTTCACATGAACATAGTAAATTAAAGATGCTATATATCTTGTGTGTCATCATTTTGCTATATTTTTCTTTGTTGTGTTGAACTATTTGTGTATTTGTAAATGTGAGTACTACGTATGCAATTTTTTGTATTTATATCAACATTTCAAGTGAGTTGGTTGGTGTTATAATATCTACTAATTGCAAAATTTGTCCAAATTTTTTAGAATGTGTTTGACATTGTACCATACCGTTTTGTACCGTTCCGAAACGACATGGTACCGAATGGTTCCATCCTTTGAACCTGACCATACCGGACCATTAAAAACCTCACGAATACATTACGGATTTTACTAATTTAACGGACCATTCCGGACCGCACCCACCCCTAAGAAATATTATTACAGAAGTAAACCAAACATAGCAACCATTACATTACATTCCAATATTCCATCACGTTTATCCATCACATTACATTACCTCATGGTTGTCATGTATGGAAATTAAAAGAATGAACTAAAGGTCGACCATTCAGGTGATTCCGTCAAGGGCCAAGGCGTAAGGCGTAAATGAAATAGAGCACTTTTATTTAGACTGAGATAATATGTTATTTTTATCTTTAAAAAAACGATTGTGATACAAATGTACACTTATTATAACATTTACAAACATTTGCATAAATAAATACAGCTATAGCACAAATCGTAGTGGCACATATCAAGCAAGAGTACACATGCATCAGTGCCGCCCGCTAAGCTATGTATGCCTCAAGAGACGACTTTGCAAGCCACAGGAGGCCAGGATCGTCTCTTTTCAAGAACAAGCAATCCTCCCTTCTTCCCATTTCATCCGTCAAAACATCTTCTTTGAATCCAATCAACACTAGGATGTCCATTGCAGCTGCAACAACGGTAGGACAGCAACAATATATAATGAAAAGGCCTTCATTTAGTGCACAATAAGAACCGAAGTAAAAGAAAATAAAAAACGAAAAATGGAAGGAATGTGTGGAAAGCCGTTAATTCAGCGAACCTTTGTAATTTAACAGATCTCTCTTAATTATAGGATTAGCCTGCACCATCATACCATTCATTAGTGTAAGAAGACTAGAGAGTAACAAGTATTTCTGATGAAATAAAAAGCACAAGACAACTGGTGTTGGGGTGTATACAAATATAAAACCTGCATACCTTCCTTAGCTTTTTAAATTTTACTTCATACGGGTATTCAATCATATTCCTGCAAGTAATCAGATCGGAAATGTGGTTGGTTAAAAATTCATCAAAAACACTTGGCATCTTAATTCTTTTGGTTTGGAACCAGGAAAATGCTAGTAAATAAAACAGGAGGAACATGGAGAAGAAAATTAAAAGGAAACAAATTTTAAGGGAAAATATAAAAATAGCTTTGAACTCAATAAATGTACTTCGTAATTTTTAAAGATTGGTCAAACTCTTTAATAAATTTATTCAAATATATAAAGGCTAAGAAGACTAAATATATTCTTAACTATAAAAATTAAGCACATTTCTTATTCTTTTGTTGTTTTCTAAGGTAAAACCAAGCACAAGAAAACAAAGTTTCCTTAGCTTTAGTTTATCTTCAATATAATTTTACGGGATCCAAACATATCCTAATCTTGTAGAAAAGGGAATAAGATGGTTTACTTGATAATCTTGATCAGAGTTTGTAGTATACAAGCAGCATCCACTGGACTAGCTTGAGCTTTCAGTTGTTCAACTGCTCTACGCAAATTGCTGCAAACCATGTCAACAGGGTCTCGTATCCTCAGCAATTCCGGGTCATCTGGGTCAGGTTCATCAATGTGATTGGATGGAACTGTTCTTAACATGGCACGTTTGTCATCAAGATCTTGTTCTGTCAGCCTGACACTTTTCTCCTGAGATCTATCTGGATCAGATACATCACAGACTTGATTCTCATGCATTGCTTCAACACCATCCGTATTGATTATAACTCTTTCAGAATCATCATCACGTTCAGTTTCTTCATGTTCCATATCTTCCAAGTGAGGGAGAACCCGAGTATATTCCGGCACATGATCTATGGTTGATATGGCCGGTTCATTTTCTTGTTCAACATCCATGTGATTGGATCCCTCAATCTCCCTAGTCTGGTTGGCGGCAAAACGTTGAACGGCAGCAGTAACTGAAGACACACGAGCATCAGAAGACAATGATTTCCCGCCAAGTTTTTGTGCTGAAGGAATGGGAATATCAAACATATCATCTTCATAGCTTTGCGCATGTTGCAAACCGCTTAGGGTGTGGCTTCTTGATTTAGTCCAATCTAGGATGGCAGCTTCTTCATTGAGCTGCCAGATTATATAGTTCATTAAAATCTTCTCAGGCTTTTTTTGGACACATCGGAAAGGATAAAATCTTCTCAGACTAAAGAGACAAAAAGTAAATGTTCTGCAAAAATTCATTTAATGAACTAATTTATGGCACTTAGATTTAGCCGCATCTGATGGTTAGTTACTTAGTTATCGCTTATCACAACCTAATAGACATGGCCAGGACTTTAACAAGAAAAGAAGCAATAAAATTGCAGATAAGAACCTGCTTATCCAAAGCGTAAAAGTTCGCATCATGCTCAGAGTGCACCATGTGTGCCTGAAAAGAAATAAAAAAAATAAAGTAAATGCCCTTAATAGGAGTAAAACATACGGAGTACAACTTTTCCATAAATAGGAGTCTACATTAATTTTCTACCCCTAATACCCCTAATCTAATTAATTAACCTAATTAATTGTCCTCCCTATTTCACTTGGGTGACCGGTCAGTCTGTTGGTGGTGGGGCACTCCGGTGGTGGTGGAGGCAGCGGCCAGCAGCGGCAACAACCTGATGGGGAAACCGTTCTGGAAATTTTTGGCGTATTCTGGCGGCAGCAGAAACCTGACATGCCGGAGGCCAGCACCGGCGGCACTGTAGCAGGACAGTGGCAGCAGCACTGAAGCGGTAGTAGTGGCAGGGGTAATCTTGTCCATTTATGAAAAAACTCCTATTTTGGGAATTTAAAACAATCTGTTTTATCATGCCTTGGCCTTTTTATCATGTTTTATAGTGGGAATTTAAAACTACTACTGGAGCGGTGGTAGTGGCAGGGGTAATCTTGTCCATTTACTCCTTTTTTGGCCTTTTTATCATGTTTTATTCCTGTATTTGGGATTATCTCAAAAAGATAAGGTAAACAATCTGTTGCACAGAACTTAAGTACTGATAAAGGACAAAATACGCCCTCCTTTGTCCAGTCCTGTTTTAGTCAAGTTAAATTTATTTATTTTAGTCAACCTCATCAAGTAAAGGCTTTTACGAATTATGAATGGTCGCTCATACCTCAACAAGACTTATTCCCTAGATTGCTTGGAGTAATAATTGACTATAACCACAACCACTTGCCACTAGGTTGTAGATGATTTTTTCTTATAAATGAATGTTGACTTTTGAAACCAGGCACATTTTTGGGACAAAAAAAGTTGATGAAAAATGACTCTCATTTGGGATGGAGGGAGTAGATTCCTTTAAGAGAGATTCTATTCATTATATTGTGGGGAAATGACATGGTTTGAGGCAGGAACTGGCAAGCTCAAATGTTTAGTTTTGCTTTGCATTTCCTTTTTAACTTTGAAAATTCAACAACCAGTTGAATTGAAAGAGGTACCTACAAGTTCATGTAAGAGAGTCTTCTTGATGATGTGGTATTTCCTGAAACCCCTAAGGTTATCCGTGCGGAGACGTAATGATATCTCTTCTCCTTGACTCTGTATACATGTTTACATGACAAAACCAAAACATAATAAAAGAACAAGAATCATACGGACAAAAACTAGAAAACCTAGAAAAGCTATACCCTCACCTTGTTAAAACCAAGGATACATTTTGGGCTCACTCCAACATATCCAATAGGAGCCATCTCTGTCATGATTCCAACACGCCAGCGATGCTTTTCAGAAATCACGAAACATAAATTAAAACCATTGTTGTCCCATAATCAAAGTTCTATGATAAAACTATTGAATCAGAAAAATAAGCACACATACTGCATTACTGCTTACCTTATTCATAATTGCGACAATTCCTGGATCTGCAGAAAGCTTATGCATCAGTTTTAAAGCTTCAGAAGGTGGAGGATTCAACTGCAGCAGATCAACTACTAGGTCAACAATAGGTTAACAATAACTCTGCAGGTATGCTGCCTACCCATTCATTTCTGGAAAGTGACTGTTCAATGATACCCTCACTAATAAAAATAACACAGTGTTTAAACTCAGGTTCCCTTTTACATTTTTGCTTATATTTAGAAATGCTGAGAAACCAGTGTAAAAAAACGGGCTCACTTAAGCAATTCTAAATTGGCAGAAATGTGTCATACGGAATTGTGTGTGTGATTCAGTGTAAAATGCCATATACGTACTATTTTATATGAACACAATTTCATTCAACTTCATTAAGATATCAAATCTGATCATAATTTAATACGCACTGTAGAAGAATGAGAGAATTGAGACATTTATTGAGGTACATAAACAAGCAAACCAGTAACTCGTTTGTTAAACATGAAGAACAAATGAGGTAAGATAACTAACATCAGACAGAGAAATACCTCAACTCCAGGAAGATGTAATGTTCTAAAATCACAGAAGATATAATGCCCCTGTGGAACTTTAAGTGAGGTCTGAACCCTATAAGCTGATCTCTGCCTCAGTCTCTGTTCTTCTTCTTCAAAACCAACAATTCTGAGGTCTTCATTTGCTCTTTTTATGACTTCATCCACCTCATCTTTGGGAACTCCCAACATCCTAAGAGATTTCCCCTAAAACATGATATATTTCAGAATAGCATGACCTAGAAAACATTTCAAAGGAACAAGAGAATCCAGGCAACGTTCTTCGTAAGATTCACTATTAAAGGTAAGAATAAAACCCATCACCTCAATAATAGATGCCTCATCCAATTTCAAATAAGAGTGCTCCTCAGAAAAGGGATAAATCAGCTTTGAGCTTTTATTTGTGGGCACAATTAGCCGCATGGTATCATCTTCAACATTGGTGAGCTTCAGAAGTTCATCACCCAATGCTTTAAATGTAGTCCTAGGATCCATTTTCGGAAAAAACTTCTTGCCTCTCCATGTAACAGAAAGGTCAATTGCCCGATGTAGCTGATCCATAACCTGCTTCATCAGATTAATTGGTATGGCAAAAATGTTGCCAGCAGAACTATTGAAAAAAAGGTTTTGCATTTGCTTGAACAGGTAAAGAAAAATCAAAAATATAATACGGAGTATACTTAGTTCTTTCAGGATTGCAGACATAGCCGGTTCAGAATAAATTACATAATAAGTCAATTGTCCAAAGGTAGAAATAAAAATGTTAACTTTGCTTGCAATCTGATATAGCGGCATGACGGCATCCCCAATTTTGTAACACTGTGATCACAATAGAAAGTAATTTCTATGTTTAATATTGTCAACAAGCTGAGAGGAATGGTCTTTTCCATAAAATGAATTAAATCGTCCACTTTCCCTGACAATTCAAGAATCATAGGAAATTGTTCGCTTTCAATAAAAACGATTGGAGATTCAATGAGACGACAAGTTTTTCACATATGAGATGCCTTACTCGGAAGAATTACTGGCCACACCTCAGGGCAGAACCTTAAACCATATTTCAACTTCTATATCTATAACAATAACAATCGAGTCCGTATCCAGAAACGAAAACTTGAATGCGAACCAAAACCGAAATTTATGTTGCTTGTATCCAAAGAAAGCCCAAATAAATAAACTACCGGTTCAAAAGTCAGTAAAGCACGATTCAAATATCGTAGATGGAGAATTGGAGATCATTTTACCTCAACTCTGGTAAATTGCTTGAGAGAACGAGTGCGATTGACCGGATACCGACCTTCTCCCGGGTAAAGCGAATAAATTAACTGCGAAGCTGGAATGTTACAGAAGCTGGGCATTTAAAAGAGGGAGAATGCGTCGTACGCATACGCTTGCGTAGGCGAAGCATCCAGAGACTATAGAGGTAGACGACGGACTGAAATAGTCAACTGTACGTTTGGCGGATTTTCTTAGAGCTTTCGGCCGTGTTTGGGAAAAGGCGGATCGGCCGTTTTTTGGCGTTTTGATTTTGGTCAAACTCTATGGGTGGGTAAAAATACCGGAAAATCGATATACCGCATTTACCGTACCGAAAAATACCGAAAAATATTGGAATATTGGTATACCGTCATTTTCGGTACGGATTATTGGTATGATACCGTACCGATTTATTTCGGTACGGTAACGGTAAATGTTTCCAAATAACGCGGTATACCGGTATAATACTATACCGACTCCCTACCCAACAATTATTACTTTTAATTCTAGAGTATTGTAAAACTCCATTACAATTATGAAGCCCAAAATAATACTTACATTGGTTACAAATCTCTAATGACTAATTAGTAATGTACTAATGTTCAAAAACAAGTTCATCTTGTTTCAAGAGCTTGCGAGTTGCGATGACTGAGTCGCTAAGTAGCTGATGAGTGGAGAGAGGTACACTTATGTGACAGGTGTATCTACATAGGGATTCCACGAGTCGAGGCACAAAACTTTGTCCAAAAGTCTTATTCATTTTTTTTAAAAAAAAATATAAAAATGACTAAATGCACAATATCATACTACCTCCATCCCAAAATGATTAGTCAAATCCAAAACTTTGATGATTAATATATATTTATTGGAAATTATTTATAATATAAAAATTATATGAAAATGTTCTTTGTTAAAAGTAATTTCATAAAAGTATAAAATTTATAACTTTCATAATATTATACTAATCAAAATCATGGTCCAAATTTTGAAATTTGGCTAAACATTTTGGGACAGAGGTAGTATTAGGAATAAATGATTTTATATCCATGTTGTTTGAATAATTTTATTTATTATTGTTAGAGATCACTATTGATTTAATTATATCTATATCGTTCAAGTTATTTTAGGAGAATGTTTTGTTTTTTAATACGTGGCATGTTGAACTGCTTAAATATACTAATAATAATTAGTGTTCAATATTGAGTATGACATCAATAGATTATTAATTATATTTGTAAAATTTTAATAATGAAATAAATATGTCACTAGTAACACCGATTTAGCATATTTCGTTAGTCTATGATAATTTGTTGTATTGTGAGACATGCATGGTAATTTACCGATACCATACTGTTACCGAACCGAAACTTCGGTATACCGAAATGCGGTATACCGAAACTATGGTAAGGTAACGGTATATAAATTTTGCATACCGAAAGTTTTGGTACGGTAAAGGTATGAGAGAAAATATTCGGTATACCGTACCGAACCACCCCTAGTCAAACCGCTGAATGAGGCGTTTGATAGATAGCGGAGGGGAATGGCGTTTTTCTTCCAAAACGCCAAATCTCAACACGCTGGTTGGAGCAGCGTTTGAGTTCGGCGGTTTTGTTTAATTTGCACAAAAGTCTGTCTAGCCCCTGTCGATGGGGAACGGGAGATTGCAATTGATGGATAAGTGTACCCGGGGGGTATCTATCCGATGGGTTACTACGGGGAGTAACTAGAGAGAAGTCAGAGCAAAAGTAAGAGAGAGAGTATGTATTGCTGAGAATGTATTGAGCGTATTGAGCATGGATTACAAATGGGGAAAAGGGGTGCTATTTATAGTAGTAATAAATGCCAGATAGGGACATGTGTCATCATTCTGGTGACCGAGGGGTCACCTCAATGGGGTGACACTGACACTCGCATGTGGCCGCATTAAATGCAGTGGTTGGATGTGACGTTTGTACTCGGTACGTTGATCCAGCGCATGTGGGCGGGAGATCCTGTCGAGGAGATGCCTTCGGTTGTATGTGATTAGCCGAGGGCTCTTCAAACCGGGGGCCTCTATGTGCCGAGGGCTCTTAGGTACCGAGGGCTACTGTTTTTCGCCGTTTTCTCCCAGTACCTTCGTTTGCCTAAAACAGCTGTTCTGCAAGTTTATAAGCCTTCGGTCATGGGGGCCGAAGGCACCCCAGCGTTCGTCGTGGGCTTTTTGGCACTTGGGGCGCTGTGATTTGGGCCTACTGTGCTTCCTGGGCCTATTGGGCCTTCGCTATAGTAATGGGAGTCTATGGGCCGGGGGTTCCTGGGCCATATACTCCATCAGGAGTCCCTCACTCCTTTTGCCGAAAGGTACTTGAGGGAAAAGGAGTAAAAATGTGTTTGTTCTCAGATGCTGCCTTGCTGTAGTTTGTAAACCTATGTGAGATTTTGCATTTGCACACGATTCTGCCGGGGGCAGCCCTTCAGTCCCCCATATTTTGGGACTGAAGGGTGTTGATGTTTTGTGAGAATAATTTTTCAGCATTTTTTTATTTTCCCGAAGGGATCCTCCAGGCCCCCACTCCTTGAGGCACATGTAATGTGGTGAAGAGGAGTAGAGTAGTGCCAGCTGTTGCATGGGGCCGAAGGTTGACACTATTCGTTTCATTTTGGGGGGATGCCTCGTTAAAAACCTCATTAGAAAAAACCTTGTGGGAAAACTCCTGGTGAGGGAAGAAGAGTGCACCGAATTCCCCCAGTGATGACTCGAAAAGGTGAAACCTTGGTCTGAGATGAAGGACAAAGTTGATGCCGAAGGCTACCCTTGATCTGAGGGCGTGTGTTTTGATTTGCCGGAGGCGCTTTGTAAATATCCCGGGAGATGCCAAAGGGGAGTCCCTCAATCCATGGGATTGAGGGCGTGATGAATGTAAATGGTAGTTGCTGTGTTGCCGTGGGGATTCTCTACCTGTTGACAAGCTGGGGATGAGGCCACCCGAGGGGTCCCGTTGTTGTATGCCGAAGGCTAACACGTTGAGGGTTGAGGGGTCCCGAGGGGTTCTCCCATTGTCAAGTCGTGGGCTCCTGAAGGAGAAGGACCGAAGGCATTTGTGATGTTGTATGAGGGGTGCCGGCCGGGAGTACCTCTGTGTTTTCAAAATATAGCCGTTGCAATAAGACCGCTGGAATATGGAACGTTTAAAATGTAGCCGTTGGAGAGGACTTCCACGTGGCGCGTGGCTGTTGACTATCTTCGGGCGGGTATCACCGGTTGGCGGAAGGGGGCGGCGTGTAATGATGACTTTCCATCGGGAGCCCGGTTTCTTGGCCCAAGCCCGAAGTGAGAGGCCTATAAATACCCCAAGGCCAAGGCCATTTTCCTTGTGCGGTCATACTGTAGCGAAGCTCTGTCGGATTTTTTCTAGAGAGAGAAACAACCCTTCGATCAAATCCTCACTTCCCAAGGTCAGTTGCTCCTCCTGTTCTCGAGTTCCTTAGCGTATTTTCGCCCTTAGGCTAAGTGCTAGAGTTGTTTAGGGAGCCTTCGGTTTCTAGAACCCCTCATCCCCTAGTTCTCGAGGATGTCTTCGCAAAGCGATTCCCAAAACATATCGAGGGAGTCCTCGGTGGAGGAGGAGAGTATATCAGATGTGGAGTCCATGAGTGAGCAGCCCTCGGTGGGTGATGATGCCGTTGTGGCCATGGAGGTACAAAACACCCTCCAGATGGAGCTCGAAGCCGAGGAGTTTGAGCAGGTGTGTGAAGACGAGGAGCTGGCCCTCACCTTTCAAGTGGCAGAGGAGGAAGAGCACAAGGAGATGATGAAGGTTACAGTTGCTGTCCTCCCCCCTCGCAATGCTGGTGAGGCAAGCAGCTCCAGGCCGCTGAACCCGACGCCTCTAAGGGTGGCCTCCAGGAAGAAGAAGACGAAAGCCGGAGCGCCCAAGAAGAAGGGGAGCGTCGCCGACCTAGGGAATCCGGTTGACATGCCCGAAGGCTACTTCTTTCTAAATACCGCCGCCCTCGAAATAAAGTCGAAGGCTGACCAGGAGGAATGCTACGTTACCCAACTCCATGTTGGGCCCTCGGCTACTGTGGTGCCACCGGGACCTAATGACGTTCTCTCCCGTGCCCCCGAGGGATGTATTGCTGTTCACATTCTGTCGGTGTCCATGGGCCTTCAGTTTCCACGGCACCTGTTCCTTCGGGAATATCTTAGGTATGTAGGCCTGGTTCCTTGCCAACTATTTCCCAACATCCATTCGTATATCACTGGGTTTCTTCACCTCTGCAAATCCCGGGGGGTGACACCTAGCTTGGATCTGTTCTTCCAAAGCTTCAACCTTTGCCGGGGAGGCCATGCAAACGCCGAGGGGTTCGCCAATTTGCAGCAGATCACTCAGTTCAGGCTGTTCACCGAGGCACCCTCCTCAAACAAAGGCTGGAAGGAGCGGTGGTGCTTTGTTAGGCTGGACGAGAACCCTTTCCCGAGGGAGTTGCGGGACCGTTTTAGGCGCCATGAGAGGACAAGGAGCGTCGCCCTCGAGAAAGATGGCCTTGTACTCGCCAAGAATGTAACCATCAAAGAATGCACCCTGGAGAGTGATCTATACGCCCTCGGCTTCCGGCGGTATCGTTTCCTGGGGGGAAATATATGAAAGTACCCCCTCCTTGATCGAGCCTTCGAGAGCGCAGGAGGTGATTACCGAGGGCCTTGAGTTTCGTACTTAGGAGATTTTTAGTACTTTTGATATTTGTCCATGCTTTCTACCCTTCGGGCTAATTCTTCATTGTTGCTTTGCAGGTGCTGGTATGGATGCAAACGCCCTCTTCGCTCTGAAGAAGAAGAAAAGTAAGGCCCAAGCTAAGAAGAAGGACCCTTTGGGGCAGCAGTTTGTTGATGCCTTCTTCCATAAGGAGATGACGGATCCCTCTGCTGTTGCTGCCGCCGCTGATGTGGCCGGGGGGGGGGGGGGGGGGCACGAAGAAGAAGAAGGGTGGCAAGGGGGTTGAGCCCCCTGTCAAGAAGCAGAAAGTTGTCGGGGATGTTGCTGAGAAGGCGGCCCTCGTGGTGATTGTAGAGGATTGGTCCTCTGCTGAGCCCCCGGCTGCGACCGCACTGACGGCCCCTTCCAACGACCCTTCGGGGGAATTTCCTTGGGAGACCTTGCAGGTTCCCCTCATCAAAGGGACTGCAGTGATGTATGGCACAATAGAGCGGAAGGCTTTTCTGGGGAGCATCACCTCGGACCTGGATAGGAAGG